TGACACTTCTCTTATTTTATTGGACATAACTCTCGCCTTTGGATAAAATGACTAAAGAATGGAAGGTAATTAAAAGGGCTAATAAAATTGGACTAAAATGGTAACAAGAGTAATAAAATTGGTTTGGGTTCAATTGGACGTTAATTGAACCTATTGAGTCTTACGTCATTACATACTTTTAGTGATGTTAATGAGGCAAGAATCAATGTTTACCACTTCCCTAGAGAGGTAACTCCATGATAGGGAGGAGTTTTGTTGGTCTTTTATTTTCATTCATTGAGCCTTTGCCCCATCGATACATGGATCATCATGCAATAACCTTGCGATCATTGATGATTTATGGGCCGATTCTACTCATCCCTTGATCAATTCCATGATAGGGGGAGACAGAAAGGACAAACACCTCCTCGAAACACTCTATTTGTGCTATGTTTCTATTCTGTTGCAGCAGGGCAAAGCCCAAAAACAGTAGTCGGCCAGCCACCCAACACAGAGCAGTGGTTAGGGTAAAAACAGATTAATTTTCTGACTACAAAACAGAACAGAAATTGGCAGTAAACAGAGAGTTTCCGGGAGGATCTTCTTATTCGTGTGCGTGCGGCTCCTCACTTCCGGTTCCTTTGATTTAATGCTTTAATAGTAATATGTTGTAAATAATTAATTAGATTCCTTCAAATTTTGTAATAATTAGTTAGCCTAGCTTGTTATTTGGATGTGTAATAAGTAGTTAAAAAATTCAGACCCTCGGACATTTAGACCCTCCTACGCGAGAACAAATATGTAATAATTTATGTATGTCTTCCAACTCCCATTTCTTTTTCCCATTTCTTTCTCTCTTTTATTTATCTGCTTACCGTGGTTATATAGTATCATGTTTTCCTTAGCATTTTCCATGCCTTGCATCCATTCGTCTTATATGCATAAGAGTTTGGCTCATCATACTAAACAATGTCAATTTGAAATTCCTTACTCGAATACATGCTTTCTTACGTGCTTTGAATTGACTCACATGCCATGCTAGTAGCCGAGTTTATTATTTGCATATTGTATGCGTTGCATTAATCACATTGCATTGTTTAGGAACATGTATTTCTTCTAATTATTTTATCCTCTTTGGCTCACCTCGGAGTACTAGGTGAGCATTTCTTGCTTTAGCATATTGCATGTGTGTGATTGCTACCATATCGAACATGTTTACCTAAGGCTAAGTGCTTAGTTGATATACCTGTTTGAATACCAGTGGATGAAGGCTTTTTCACTTAAGATGTGATGATTTGATTAATGTACATATGAGATCACTTTTCCAAGTGGTACATATTCAAAATACTTTTCCAAAACAAATATGAAATTAAAACGTTCCAAATTGGGCGAATTAGTCTATATTTGTGTGCATCACATAGTAAGAATAGCCTAATAAATCGGAATAAGAGAATATACTGTACATAAGATTCATATCATGGTTAGTAAAGGTTGATCTTTGATTGGGTGAGTGGGGTGCTTAATTCAATGACCTTTCCCTCTCATACCTAAGTTCTCGAGCCGAGACACTTTGGCGATGACGGACAAGTGACCTTTGGCACGAATTACGAGTTTCCTAAATTTTCTAAAAAATATTTAAGTGGCATGTCTGAAATCTGACAAAGTGGTCAATTTTTGACATTTTTTATTCAAAATCGATTTTCCAAAAGACTTGCTAGATTTAGACTTTTTTGTATTTATCTATTTCACATTACACTGGTGAAATCAGATTCAGACCCATGGGAATCCGAACTGTAGGGTTGTCGTATCCAAGGAGACTAAATCCCTTCAAAGAGCACAAAAAGCAAACTACAGATGTGATTTCACTATGAAATTGTATTTTAAACTTGCGATTTTAAAAAGTGAGTTAATTTGATAAAAAGTTTTAAAACGTTAGTTATTTACATTTAATCTTTTGGAATATTCACACAAAAAAAAGGAAAAAAAAAACAGAAAAAAAACAAAAAACAAAAGGCTCAATTAAAAGCAAACCATATTCACCAATTTTTTGACAATTTGGTTTTTCATTTTTTAAAGTAGAAATTACCATTCAATAATTGTTTAAAAAAATTAATATAAATTCTACAAAAATTTATGATTTTAATCATTAAAATTTATCACTTATTTGTAATTATTTTTTAAAATTTTGACTTCACTAGATTTTTCATTTTATTTAAAAACAGAGTTTTCAATTCGTACTTTTATTTTTATTTTTAATGAATTTTTTTTAATATTTTAATCAATTTTTTCTACTCTTTAGATCTACTTAATCAGTAAAGAGTATACAATTTGTGAATTTTATTTTTTTTAAAATTAATATAAACAAAAAAATACAAAAAACAATTAAGTACATTTTCATATATATATATTTTGCATTTATTGATTTTTTTTATAGATTTTTTCATAAATATTTTATTTTTCAAATAAATTTAGATTAGGTGCATCTAAAAAAAATTCAAAAGACTTATTACAACAATAGAAAAGTTTACAAAAAATAACAAATCACAAAACAAAACAAAAACTCAAATTGTTTTTGAAAATCTAATACTAAATAGAGTTATTATTACTCAATTTTTATAATTTTTTTAAAAATAAAAATTGTAGATGGCATCATTTCGTAAAAATTTATTAAAATATATTCTTAAGATACATTTGAAATTTTTTAAAAGATTTGATTACAAGTAAGAGTTGAAATGTTTCGTATGAAATTAAGATTTTAATAAAATTTACACTCAAATTTATTGAAAAACAAAAGAGATTAATTTGCAAAAGTAAAAAACAGCCGTGGAAACAGCTTACTTAAAAAATTGAGTAAATTAGGTAAATCCTCTTAAATTATAAAACATTTACACTTTATTCTATTGAATTTTAAAACTTAAGCGGTAATGCCCTTGAACTATTAACTTGTCACAATTAACAATTTTGATTAGGATTTTACTAGGAATTTAAACGGAATGTGGTCATGTATAAAGTGCATAACATACTTATTATTTTTTTAGAACAGTAGTACCCGTTATTGATTTTTATAAGACAATAATACACTTATTTAATGATTTTATTTGCACTTTACCTCTCTTAACTTAGTGACAAAATGCAAATGGAATGATCATATAATGACATTATTATCCTAAAACTTCAATAAATATGTCATGTAGTTTATACATGGTCTAGTTTTGTGTAAATTCGTAACAAAATCCTAACAAAAAGAGGACAACGACAACAAAATAATACTTTGAGATGATTGTTACTTTAAGGTAATTAATTGCTGAGTTTTAAAGTTCAGGAGGCAAAATGCAAATATTTATAATTTAACGTAATTTATGTTAAAAAATTATATTCAAAATTATGGGAAATTTAAATTGTTATAATTATTAATCTATAAAAAAAATATTTATAAAAACCCATTAAAAATTGATTAAAATTCTAATTATTTTGCTATTTTTTTCACCATGTCTTTAACCGTCATAGGCCATGAAAACCCCCTTACGTAAGGAAGTAGGTCCTGTGTCCTGGCGAGTAGTGTAGTGTAGTGGGAAAAGAAGATGAAAAGACTTTCGTCGATGGGAGAATATGAGACGACTTTCCCTTTTCTTATGTTTTCTCACGTATCATCGGATTTTGGAAACTTTATTTTTATATATACAGTATTCAGATCATCTTATACATACATACAGAGAAAGAGAGATTTTAGTAGACAAGTGCTTGTACGGAGAGAGCTTCCTAGGTTCTTTTCCTTTTCCTTTTCACTTCCTTCCTTCCTTCATAAAGAAAACCCAGTTCTTTCTCATGCTATCTTAATACCCTTTATCTCTCATTGACATTGTTTTGAGGTTTTATACAAGGGTCTAAAGTGAAATGGGGGTTTGGTACATCTCTCTCTCTCTCTCTCTCTCTCTCTCATTGTTGTGAGGATTTATAGAAGGGTTTAAAGTGAAATGGGGATTTGATTTTTTATTGTTTCAGATAAGCAATACATTACCAAGTGGAAGAAAGGAGACAGAAAAGAGTGAGAAATTGATGATGAGAGGGGTTCCTTATGACTCAAGCTTCACTGATTTGATGTTTTCATGGTCTCTTGAAGACATCTTCAATGAGAATCTTTACAAGAACCAGGTGTGTCTTGTGCTTCATTTTTCACCATTCCACTGTCCACTGATATGTTAGATACTTAAAATCACATATTTTGTAGTTCTGTTACAAATACAGTAACCGGTCACAAAACAGGACAAAATTTATTGATGGGATTCATGTATAAAAAATCTTATTGCCAATCTTATGGGCATATACATTATTTGTTTGATTCTGTGATTGGTTTATGTGTTGTTCAACTTATTTTATTTTTTTCAAGTTTTTGGGATTAAATTATTAATATGCGTAAAGATAATATTATGGTGGTTGATTCTCAAAGTGGAAAAAAGCAGTTAAATATGATTGTTTGCCTAACCCCACTTCTGCTTCGAGGGCTGGGCTGTTTCTGTGCCAGGCCCTTCAAAAATTTCAATCCAATGCAGCAATTAATGTACAATTATAGAGGTTAGCCTCTTATTTTTTTGGTTGATATCTGGTTTGATATTTGATTTGTTGACGTGTCTGAATTTATTGTGCATCTCTGGTTTCTTTTATCTCTTTTGAATTGACATATTGCATCTGGTTGTAATTAATTAATCATAAATGTGAAGCATGTACGATCGAACTTAATTTACTGGTTAGCTTTTGAAATTTTTGATTATGAAATAAATTTTCATTCAACCTTTGTTTTTTTTTTTTCGTCAGCAAAAATTCATTAAATCATGATCACTGGATCATCAGAACAAATTTTTGTTTTTTGCAGTATTGGATATGGACACCAGTGTGCACAATGCACATTCCAATGCATTGCGTACAAGATTATGTATTTTACAATCCCATTATTTGTTATGAATATATTTTACTAAATTCAACCCCGTGGCATGTAGTGGAAAGGAGAGTTTTCATATTTGTTTTTCTATGTAAGAGATGCAGAGAGTTTTGCATGATCATGGGACTCAAACCCAAAAGCTAGCTGAGGCGAGGGTGCTCTCATGCTCATATAGTGCACTTGGTAGCACCTACCACTTGTATTCCAAGGACATGCACCCTACCCATCTCTGGGTTTCGTGGCTTTTGATGCTATGTTACACATTCTTGGGTAAAATGCAACCCCAAAAGGTACCTATTGCTATTGGGGTGATGGTACGCCTCATGCTTATATATCGCACATTAATTCGGTACCTAGGCAACGTGAGGCGTCACTTCATAGAAAGCCCTCCTGCTACCAAATATAATAGCTTTGTCTTCTTATTTTATCATCAACCATTCCTTCTCTTCGCTCAAGAAGCACTCCTTTAGTCTACCATAGTAGTTGCTATAGCTAAAATTTGGCAAAGAGTTGAAGTTAAAAGCTCTTCAAATTACAAAAATGTCTACAATGTCTAATCTTGTGCCAAAGCAATTGCCAAATATGCCACCTCAACTTCTTAACTGTATTCCCAGTCTTCCTGTCACGACCCGAACCCGCCCCTATGGGCTAAGGCCATAACCGGCCAATAATCACGAGATTACCTACGGCCTTAAACCAAATAAGCCAAAACTCATCAGAGTAAAAAGGGCCAAACGGAAGCAATTTAAAACTTTGTCCATAGAGCTGTGCTTATATGCACATCATAACATTTTAAACATTTATATGTTAATAACTCACATCAGAATGTGTACTAATATAAAACACTGTAGTTGTTTAGGGTTTGGTCTCCCCCTCTTTCTTTCTCTCACCGCCGATCGTTCCTCATCGCCGCTGCTATTTAGGGTTTCGCCTTCCTCTATCTCTCTCACACACGACGGGACTGTTGCTCTCTCTGCTCCCTCACCGTCAATCCTCCCTCACCTTACCGCCGATTTTGAAAGGATATCTCTCTCTCTCTCTCTCTCTCTCTCTCTAGAGATTTCAATCTAGGATTTACATATATATATATATATATACATATCTAAGTGTATACATATATTGATCTAGGGATTTCACATTCACTGTTTTGACCTCTGTTTTTTTTTTCCCTCTAAATTTATTTATTATATATATATATATGTCAAAAAGTGCGCATTTTATTATGAATTTGGAAACAGAAAAAGAAATGAAGCATATCTATTTACTTTCTCATATCTATTTATTATTCAAACTGTGTTTATTTTTTGATTTGCATATTTGTTTATTATTATTGATCTGCATATCTGTTTATAAAAATAATCTTTCATTTTATATGAACTGTATTTATATTTTTATTAATTATTGATCTGTTTATTTTAAAGAATGTCACTCTGATTGTTGTATTATATGGTCTGATTGTTGTTATGATTGGGAATTGGTGTTCTGATTGTGTGCTGATTGTTGTTCTGATTGGAATTGTTGTTTTAACAGATTGTTGTCAATAAGTTATCCAACTTTTGAACCCCATGTGTATCTGTTCTTCATATTTCCAGCTTTATTCTGTTGAGAATGTGTTCTTATTAGAGTTCAAATTTTTTAATTGAACTTAGAAAGCTAGCCAATACATGTAGCTTCGACAGTTTTAGTTGTTTGAAACAGTTTAGTCTATTAATTGTTGTAAGAAGAGATTTACTGGTTGTCCTCCTTGCACTAAAAATATATTATTTTTCTTGAATATAAATACTTATTTACCTAGTAGTTTTGTTGCTAATGTGGGTGTTTACTATTAGGGATTTAAAAAAAAATAAGTAATCAATTATGGATAATCCTATTGGGGATGGTTTTGACATTATAGCTATCGAGGTTTGTGGGATTTTACCATATCTTAAATATTTGTGAGGATGACGGGAGAAGAAAATAAACGACATATACTTATGGCACAAAAAGGACAGGATAGAAAATTATGTTCTAGAAAAACAACGGTTGCGTTTGGTAGAGTTTTCTAAATATGATTTGAGAGTAGAAGTTGTATTTTGAGTTTGTGAGTTTTGGAATTATGATTTGAGTGTAGAAAATTTGTTTGGTTATGATTTTTGAATTTAGTGTTGAATTGAGTTTTGAATTGTATATGGAATTGAGTTTTGAAAGTTTGATGTGACATGTGAAATAAGAAAATTTGTTTGGTGATGAGTTTTCAAAATAGTTTTCAAAACTTAATTCAACCTATAATTGATAATCAAACACACAACTCACAACTCGATATCCGTGTTTTTTATCAACAGTCATAACCAAACTATTTTTAAAATACTCAAATAAAAAAATGATTTTTTTTTCAATTAATTGTTTTTAAGTAATTTTTTTAAATATTTTTTTTTTCAAATAAATTTTACGTCAATTATTTTATGTCAATTAATTTTTCGGTCAATTCATTTTTTAGGCCTGTATAAACATTTTGTGCAATACGTTTTTAATATTTTTCAAAAATTTTGTTCAAACCAACACGTTTGGAGATTACATATTGATAAAAATTAACAAAAATCAATTTATTATTTTTTTTAAATACAAACGAAAACATAAACGTTACCAAACATTATCAATATTTTTTCATTTATTAAAGTTTATTCATTTAATAAAAAATTCTTTATGTTGTACCTTTTTTTAGCTTCATTATTGTCCCTTACTCCTGCCTCACCCGTGAAGCTCATATTATTGGAATATTTAAAATAAAAAAAAAATTAAAATAAAAATTAAGTTGTTTTTGAGTTGTAAAAAGAGTTTTGAGTTGTGTGTTTGGTTATGAGTTTTGAAAAGTAATGATTATAGTTTGAAATGAGTTTTGAAAAATGGGTGTAGAACTACAACCAAATACCACATTCAAATCAGTGGTGGAACTATGTTTTGAAATCTAAACCAAACAAAGCCTTAAATTTTTGTTTCTTTCACTTCTTTGATGTCAGGCATGGGTTCCAGGCTGTTTGCCCTGAATGGTTTGGGTTCAAGTCAGAATGGTTTATTCTGAATAGTATAAAAGAAAAGGGCATCTTAGTGCACGAGACCGCTGCTAAAGCAAGGTCTGGGGAGGAAAATATGTACGCAGTTTTGGCCCTAATTCATGAATAGTATCTTGAGGTTGAGGATGAGGATCACTGAGTTGTTGAATTTTAATCCTTGTGCTGTCAAATTAACCTATATTAATTCTTGTGTTGTCAAATTTTTGTCTAAGCAAGTGCTTGAGGATAACTGAATGCTTAAATGATTAAGCATGCTACAAAAAATAGTTCCAAGTATCTTAGCCTTTGTTTTTAAAGTTCATAAAATTTTGGTGTTGAAGTTGTATTAGTCTAGGCATTGCATGCGATTGTGAGAGTACAATGGCCTCACACTTTTGATTGTGGCATGTAGGATTTACAACATAACTAATGTAATAGCCCAGGAGGGAACTTGTGAGTGAAATTTTGAGCGGTAGTACATTTTATAAGTAACTTCATGTTCTGTATGGAAAGGATATATTATGTGGATAGTAACACAAGCTCACTTTGCCTTGTGAGTTGTTGCTCTACTCAGCTTGGCTGCGGTTGCCTCTAGAGGCCTATGCCCAAATACAGAAGAAATATTTCCAAAGGGAAACAACGACAACGAAACCAAAAGTTAATCTTTAGATAACCTTGTATTCCAAGGTAAATTGAGTTTGTTTATAGAATTTAAAGTGAATTGCAAAATGCTTGAATGTTTCAATTTTCAGCATCTATATGTATATCTCACTTGCAAGGACCTTTAGTTTTTGTGGTGATTTCACTTTAGAATAGCAGCTTCAGTTCCTTCTCGAGAAGCTTGTAGGGGGGACTTCATTTACAAGCTCTTCAAATGTATTTCTACTTAGTTTGTAAGTTTTGTTTAAATTGTAGTAAGTACATTTTAAAATCTTTATGGTCTTCAACATTTGTATGAACTAATGAATGTTTTCTTCTTTGGTTACTAGTTGTATGTATATACGATTATAAATTTGCATATTCAGGCCTTTATTTGATATCAAAGTAGATTTTACCCAAATGTAATTACTTTATTAGTTATTGTGCCTTTCAAAAAATAACTACCCTACTACAGTTTTATGAGTTGGCGTTTGCGGCCAGTGGTGCAATCAGGAATTTTACTTAGTGGGTTCAAATTTGAACTTAATATCCTTGATTTTTTTTTTTTTTTCTCTATTTCTATAAGTTTAGTAGTTGTTGACTATATGTAATTATAAACCTAATTTCATATGAATTGATAAAATTATTCTATGTAATTAGAAGTTACTTTAAAATTTTAATTTCATAGAAAATGATTACATTGTCACGGGATAAAGTAATAATAAGTTGAATCTGTTTCATGGCCTCAAAATACACTAATTCAAACATATATTAAGAAAATTTATAAGCTAAGAAGCACAGACACGCATGCAAATGCAGATATGGGACACTGTGATTTCAAAAAAATAGGGACACAGACACGATAGGACATGGCGGGAACATGGCAATAAAATATGTTTTCATATATTTTTATTTGCTATTTAGATTAGTATTACATCCACAAATAATCAATATTGACAAAAACTAACTCTAATTCTATATTTTTTTTTAAAAGAAAAGTACTTGTAAATTAACACTTACAGTGTATATATTTTTTATGGATGATCTATTAAGTATTTAAATCTAAGAAAAAAATAATAAACATTCAACATTTGTCAAAAGTACTAAATAAAATGGAGAAAAAGACAAATTGGCATGCCCTTGGTACGTCCCCGAAGTGGCGGCGTGCCCCCTAAAAATAAATTAATTAAATAAGGAGACACGGCATGTGGTGTGTCCCATACATGTCCCCAAAAGTGTCCGTGCGTCATAGTTTATAAGTCAGTGCGGATACGACACTTATTTTGAAATGTCAGTGCGTCATAGTTTATAAGTTAAAGTACGCCTCCAAACTTGAAGAAAATTTGTAAGTATTTCTTAATTGGTGGAATGTCTGTCAATAAAACGTTCTTGAGTACCGAAGGAAATTAAGGGAATGTACCTAACCTATAAAACTTTTAATCAAAAATCAAAATATAAATAATTTATTTTATAAAAATAATTAATATTATCTCTAACAAAGATAATCATGCATAGACTTTTGAATGCTTAATCATATTTTTGAACAATAAATTGATAAAATAGAATCAAAAGAATTTGAACCCTTTTATTTTAGTTTCAATAAAATTTTAGTTGTCAATTTTAAAAAATCTTAAAATAATGAATTATATTCAATTATGAGTATTTTTTTTTTCAAATTTTAATAGGTGTCATGTGACCATGCTTAATTCTGTTTTATGCTCTTCGATTCTGTTGTATTATCTTGCCTTCATTATGGTTTTTACATTGAATATTGTTTAATTGAACTTTTTTTGCCTTTGGCGACTTGACATTAAACTTTCACTACTTTGTTTCACCTCCATTAAACTTTCATTGCTCTATTTTTAGGTGGAGAAGATTCCAGAATCATTTCAGTCAGTCGAGCATTATTTTGGTTCATTCGTTTTTCCCTTGTTAGAGGAAACACGGGCAGACTTGGCTTCAAGCATGGAGATCATTCACGAAGCACCTTTTGCTGAAGTGATCTCACTCGATGCGTGCAAGCCGTATGGAACTTTGAATTATGATATTAAGGTTGATTACTGGAGAAACAGATTTAGTGACCGTGGCAAAGATCCTTACAAAACCTTGCCCGGAGATGTTTTTATAGTTTCAGATGCAAAACCCGAAACTGTATCTGATTTACAACAGGGTGGAAGGACGTGGACTTTTGCAACAGTCACTAATATCACAGAGGATGAGATTGGAGGAGGTAATAATTCATCTACTTTTTTTAAAGTCAAAGCATTGAGAGACACTGAAGTCAAAGGTGGAATGCGACAATCACTCTTTGTGGTTTTTTTGAGAAATATAACTACAAACAAAAGAATATGGCGTGCGCTCTGCAAGTTTGGAAATCTGAAGATCATCGAGGAAGTTCTTTGTGCTGATTCTGAGGTAAGAATTGTGACAAAAGATTATTATGCATGCAATTGTTTTGTTTGAGTTTCATGTCCTTGTTTTTAATTTTTAAGATGATCGTGTATACGAAGTTAATGTCAGTTAACATTTTGCATCCTATGTTTTGTGTCTTTTCATTTGGACTCTGTTAACTGGAATGCAAACCGTTCTAGTACAAGGAATGGGGACAAAAACGAGGTTCGCCACATGTACTGAAATGTGGTACAATAAGGGTTGAGGGGTTGTATAAATCACACTACTAGACTTTACAAGACTACTAAATATAACACCAATTATGAAGACATCCAATAAAATATTGTTGCAAATTAATGATGTAAAAACACAATTCTAGAAGCATTATGGCCTATTTGTTTTATATTTGATCATGCAAAAACTCTGCTCTCTCTAGATTTTTGTTATTTATTTATTTATTTTGTCTTCCAATTGGAAACTCTTAAGAAATTATATCTTCAAAATTTTGGAATTACTTTTATATTGTTAAATTTTTCTTTTTGAAATGAAAATGTACTGTGTTTTTTAATGTGCATTTGAAAAAGTAAATTTTTTTTTCCGGGTATCACTCATCATAATTTAATGAATTTTATGAGTAAAATATATACTTCACATTTGGTGGAACTTATTGACATTAACTGTGAAAAACAGGTTCAGGAGGATTGCGAACTTTGTTGTGTCCATAGTAGGTACCAATTGACCGAAAGATTTGGTACAAGTCTACTATCTATGCTGAATGAATCCCAAACAGAGGCAGTCTTGGCTGCTCTTCTTAGAATGGAATGTAATCACAAGCCTACTGCAAAACTTATATGGGGCCCACCAGGGACGGGGAAAACTAAAACTGTCAGTGTTATGCTTTTTGCTCTTTTGAGGATGAATTGCCGGACTCTTACTTGTTCTCCTACAAATGTAGCTATAAATGAAGTGGCTTCGAGGGTGTTACAGTTGGTGAGGGAATCTGCAAAGGATGCTTTTTTTTGTTCTTTGGGAAATATTCTCTTGTTTGGGAATAAGGATCGGCTGAAAATGGATTCTGACATTAAAGATATCTATCTGGATTATCGTGTTGAAATACTTGAGGAGTGTTTAGGACCAGTGTCTGGCTGGAGGCATTGTTTTACTTCCATGATAGATTTGCTTGAAGACTCTGTTTCTCAATACCATGTTTTTGTGGAAAATCAAAAGATCATAGAAAAAGAACACAACAATCAAGAGGAAGTCAAAAAGGAAGAATTCAAATCATTTCTCGAGTTTGTGAGAGCTAGATTTAAGTCTACTGAATCATTGCTGAGAAGATGTATGTTTATATTCGGTACTCATTTACCAAGAAGTTACATTTTGGAACATAATTTCCAGAAAATGGTAACTCTCATTGACTTGCTTGATTATTTGAAAAGTTTGTTGTTTCAAGAGAGTGTTGTTTCTGATGAACTCGAGGATATTTTTTCACACCAATATCCAATTGAAGATTTTTCTGAATCTTTTGTGAATACACAATCTCTGATATACACAAGGAGCATGTGTCTTTCTGTTCTAAAATCTCTTAAACGTTCTTTTGAAGACCTTGACCTGCCAAGTGTTGTGATCGAAGGTTCAATTAGGGACTTCTGTTTTCGAACGGCTTCCTTAATTTTCTGCACTGCTTCTAGTTCATATAAGCTATATTCAGTGGGGATGGAACCACTGAACTTGCTGGTTATTGATGAAGCTGCACAATTGAAGGAGTCTGAATCGACAATACCCCTTCAACTTCCCGGTCTGAGACATGCCATTCTCGTTGGCGATGAGTGCCAATTACCAGCAACGGTTATTAGCAATGTAAGTTAGGATTGGTTTGGTTTGGTTTGGTTTGGTTATTAGCAATGTTAGTTAATGCTATTGATCTTATTACCCTACAAATATAAGTTGGCAAGGATTCATTTTTCATACATTGAACATTATGTTGATTGATAGGTTTCGAGTGAAGCTGGATTTGGAAGAAGCTTGTTCGGAAGGTTGAGTTCATTGGGTCATTCGAAACACCTTCTAAACATGCAGTACAGGATGCATCCATCGATAAGTTTCTTCCCAAATTCAAATTTCTATTTCAACCAAATCATGGATGCACCATATGTTATGAAGAAAAGTTACGAAAGACACTATCTTTCAGAGCCAATGTTTGGTCCCTATTCTTTCATAAATGTTGTTGGTGGTAAAGAAGAATTTGATGATGTTGGGCGTAGCCGGAGAAATTTGGTAGAGGTTGCTGTTGTTGTGAAGATAGTGCAGAAATTATACAAAGGTTTGTCAAGTGGGATTTAATTGTAACTGTATTTTGACTTTGTTGTTTTGATATGCACTATATTTTACAGAAAGGTTTACCATATGTATCTTATTTTTTATGAGCATTATTGTATACATCTCAATATGTGGTTTTTGAAATTAGATTTTTTACTTTTGAAACCATTATTTCATAGTACTGCAGCACCAAAGGATACTACTTACAAGCCTTTTTATTGTTGTCAAGACCCATATAATCAATCAAAAGACAACTGGAGGTGTATAGAGATGTTTGGTTTTCTTGGTCCTTCTTGAATGTGGTGGCATTCCCTTGATTCCTTTTTGAAATAATTTTTATTTTATTTTTTATTTTCTACTCATCTAAAAGAAAAAGTAATTTGATATGCATTCTGCGTTGTTTTCATTGTTATGTTTTCAAGAACTCAAGGCAGTTTTCAGAAACATTTAAGTATTTTGATATGCATTTCTGCGTTGTTTTCATTTTTCTATTTTCAATAACACAAGGCAGTTTTCAGAAACATTACCAAACAGTACTGAAGCACTTTTATCAAATGTTGTGTTCACACCTTTTTCCTTCACTCTTTTGTAGAAGGCTATAACTCAACCAAAAAAAGAACAACAAAACAAAGGTAGCATGAAGAAATGAAAATAAAACACTGAAAATTACCTGTTATGATCCCCTGCTTGCTTGACAATTTTGATGGAATCATTCCCTCAATCTTAAACATCACCGATAGAGAAATTAACATTCTGTTGAATTATTAAAATTGTAGAACTTCTTATTTTCACATATTAAATGATTTGCTTTGTTTTTGTTTTTTTTTTAAAATTTTATTGGTTGATGTTGTGTACAGCATGGGAAGGCTACAAAAAGAAGCTTAGCATTGGTGTGATATCTCCCTACGCTGCTCAAGTTGTGGCTATCAAAGACAAAATTGAAGAAAAATATGACAACCTCGAGGGATTCACAGTGAAGGTGAAGTCAGTTGATGGGTTTCAAGGTGGAGAGGCAGATGTCATAATTATTTCTACTGTAAGATCAAATAAAGGTGGATTTGTTGGCTTCATGTCCAGTTCCCAGAGAACTAATGTTGCATTGACAAGAGCTCGGTATTGATTCAAACAGATTCCCTCTTAACTTCACTTCTTAATCTTTTTGCTTTTAAGATGATGAATCTTCATGTCCTTTGATTCCTTTCCAGGCACTGTCTTTGGATTTTGGGAAATGAAAAGACACTAGCTAGTAGTGAATCAGTTTGGGAAGTGATAGTCCGTGATGCTAGGGATCGCCAATGTTTCTTTGATGCTGATTTAGATAAAGATTTGGCCAAAGCAATAATAGATGTCAAGAAAGAGCTTGATCAAATGGATGATTTGTTCAATAAGGATAGTATACTTTTCAAAAGTGCAAGATGGAAGGTATTTAACTTCTTGTGATTAAATGATGTTATTATCCTACTATCTATCTCTAAAATCACAGAACTTTTAATCTTTACATTGCACGTAATTTGATTTGACATTTTTTTTCCCATTGGTTCACCCCAGGTTTTTTTCAGCGAAAACTTCAGAAAATCATTTGGAAAACTCACTTCAGTCCGTATTAAAAAGTCAGTTATGAACCTATTACTGAAGCTTTCAAGTGGTTGGCGACCTAAAAAGAAGAATGTGGACTCAGTCTGTGAGAGCTCTGCACAGATCTGGAAAAAATTTATGGTTGAAGGGCTCTATGTTGTTTGCACCATTGACATTGTAAAGGATTCGATTTACAAACAAGTTTTGAAGGTTTGGGATATATTGCCCTTGGAAGAGATCCCAAAATTGGTTAAACGCCTTGATGGCATGTTTGCTATGTACACCGATGATTATATCGATCACTGTAAGCAGAAATGCTTGGAAGGGTATGTTTGTTTTTTTACTAATTGTGAACATAATGAAATATATTATGTATATTATATATTTGAATTTCATAGGTTAATTAACTTTCTTGATTGGTTTTTTGTGTTCAGGTATTTGGAAGTTCCAAAGAGTTGGGTGACATCTTTTGACATTGTCCGGTTCAAGAATCTTAACAACCATGTACATGGGAATGAGTCAAGTGGCGGTACAATTGATGGTAGGAGTTATGTTGAGAATTCAAAGGTTAATGAGAGCCTGTTGTTGATGAAATTCTACTCCTTATCGTCTGGTGTGGTGAGCCACTTACTTTCTGGCCGCGATGGTAAAGAATTGGACCTACCTTTTGAAGTAACAGACCAGGAATCAGAGATTATCTTGTTCCCTAGAAGCACATTTATACTTGGACGGTCAGGAACCGGTAAAACCACAGTTTTGACAATGAAATTGTTTCGGAAGGAGCGACACCACCATATTGCTTCAAGAGGAATTTGTGCAGATGAGGCCAGTACTAGTACAGATGTGAGCCAGAGGAACGATGTTGGTGACTGCGTTGCAGAGATTAAGGATAGTGTCTTGCGCCAACTTTTTGTGACAGTCAGTCCGAAACTGTGTTATGCTATCAAACAACATGTTTCTGGGCTGAAAAGGTGTGTAAGATGCTCATTTGTGGGGTTGTTGCAACCTGTTCCTTTTCTGTATTTTGTTTTTACTGTCTTAGTTGCAAATTAGTGATCAGCAAACTAAAGTGAATACTCTTTGGTTTTAGATGACTTGAGTGTGCAGCAGGTCCTATAAAAGTTCTCATAAGTTTTTATACTATACAAATAAATTAACAGTCATACAATGGATGGAGGTTATGTTATCAAATTGGTTTCCTATAGTTTGTATGATTGATCTCTAAATTAATGCATTAATTGGTCCGTCGTGATCTCTGTTAATTGTTATTGTTGACCTAAGGTGACATTTACTCTTTCTGAGTTAACTGCCTAAGGGTAGTACTTTTTTTTTCCCCTCTCTCTTAACTATGAGCTTATGTATAGGTTTGCTGATGGTGGGAATTTTTCTGGAGAAAACAGTTCAACCGATATGGATGATACAGCACAATTTATGGATATCCCAGATTCTTTTCTTGACATTGCTTCTAACAAATACCCTCTTGTCATCACATTTCATAAGTTCTTAATGATGCTTGATGGAACATTGGGCAATTCATACTTCGAAAGGTTCCTTGGTGGAAGCAGACTTTCTCATTGTAGAACTAGTGGTTCAAGATCAGTTGCTTTGGAAACTTTCTTAAGAACAAAGGAGGTTAACTATGAGAGGTTCTGTTCATTGTACTGGCCGCATTTCAATTCTGCGCTAACAAAGAAGCTCGATCCTTCCAAAGTGTTTACTGAGATAATGTCTCATATAAAAGGTGGATTGGGAGTGGGTGAGGCTTGTGAAGGTAGACTTAGTCAAGAGGATTATGTCCACCTGTCTGAGGGTCGGGTATCTACTTTGAGTAAGCAGAAGAGAGAGAAAATTTATGATATCTTTCTGGATTATGAGAAAACAAAGATGGAAAAGGGTGAATATGATTTAGCTGATTTAGTGAATGATCTTCATCATCGACTAAGAAATGTAATACTTGAGGGCGACAAAATGGATTTTGTGTATATTGATGAAGTGCAAGATCTTACAATGAGACAAATTTCTCTTTTCAAATATATTTGCCGAAATGTGAACGAGGGCTTTGTTTTTGCGGGTGACACAGCACAGACTATTGCAAGGGGAATTGATTTTAGGTTCGAAGATATACGATCTCTATTCTACAATGAGTTCATGATGGAATCAAGAGGCGATGCATTTGTTGGAACAAAAGAGAAAGGACATCTATCAAAGATTTTCGGCCTTCGCCAGAACTTTCGTACCCATGATGGTGTGCTTAGATTAGCACAAAGTGTCATTAACCTTCTTTACCGTTACTTTCGTCATTCTATTGATGTTTTGGAACCCGAGACAAGTCTTATATACGGTGAAGCTCCGGTTCTTCTTGAGTCTGGAAATGATGAAAATGCAATTGTAACTATTTTTGGAAAGAGTGGAAATGTCAGTGGGGACATAGTTGGCTTTGGCGCCGAGCAGGTCATATTAGTACGAGATGATTGTGCCAGGAAGGAAATATCTGACTATGTTGGAAAGCAGGCACTTGTTTTGACTATTGTGGAATGTAAGGGCCTAGAGTTTCAGGTGACTATTAGTTTTTATTTATATGTTATTTATTTGTCTCTTCTTTTTATATTCCTTTCATATTTTACTTATTTGATTAATTTCTTATCATTTATAGGATGTGTTATTGTACAACTTTTTGGGCTCGTCGCCTTTGAAAAGTCAATGGAGAGTAATATATGAATTTATGGAAGAACAAGAAATGCTTGATGGTACTTGCAGGTCCTATCCGAAATTTGATGAGGTAAGACATAATGTCTTGTGTTCTGAATTGAAGCAACTATATGTGGCAATTACTCGTACGAGGCAAAGGTTGTGGATTTGTGAGAATACTGAGGAGCTCTCGAAGCCTATGTTTGACTATTGGAAGAAGTTGTGCCTTGTCCAAGTAAGGAAATTGGACGATTCACTTGCACAGGCAATGCAAGTTGCAAGTAGCCCAGAAGAGTGGCAGAAACGGGGTATCAAGGTCTGCTTGATTGCTCCATATATTAATTTTAGCACTGTTTTTCTTTTTAAAATCATATCATGATTTTTCTTACACATGTATTGTTTGTGTTCTTTAGCTCTATCATGAGAATAACTATGAGATGGCAACGATGTGCTTTGAAAGGGCTGGAGACACAATGTGGGGAAAAAGGGCCAAGGCTTCGGGCCTTAAAGCAAATGCAGATCGTATGCGTGGTTCGAATCCTGATGGGGCTTGCACGGTTCTTAGGGAAGCTGCTGAGTTATTTGATTCTATTGGTATGGCTAAGTCAGCTGCCGAATGTTTTTGTGACTTGGGGGAGTATGAAAGAGCAGGTATTGTTTTCTGTTCATTTGTTTTTCAATTATTTTTTTTGTTAATTTCAAAATATTGTTTGCAATATGAATTGTTTATGCAACTTAACACAATTTAGTGGCTTATGATTTTTAGATTTCATAAGATGGTACTTCCCTTGAAAAATACCAACAAATTGTGACTTTTAACTAATCAGATAATTTGACCTATACTATACTAGTACATCTGGGGATAATGGGTAGATTCCTTTCAGAGGAGAATCACAAATGCATAACCCTTTGTGTCATGAAATTCATGCCCTAATTTATTTTTACTCAAAAATTTATACCCTGAATTATTGTTTTTGATAAGCAGCTAACTGATGAATTTTTTATCTTTAAAATTATTTTACGGTTTAGGGTTTACCTTTTTTACCAATATGAAATTTTTTTGATTATGTTATACACAACAAGATCATTGGACAGAATGTTTGAATGATAGCTTCTTCTTTTTTTTTTTTTTTTTTAAAGTAATTCTCCTTTTTTTCTCTGTTTGTGTGCACTTGCAAATTAATATATTTTGTTTGGCATAAGCGGATATTTTTAGATGGCCAAATATGGATGCAAATGTAGAGTGTGAATATCATTTCCCAATAATTTAATGTTGCTGAAAAAACTAAGATAAACCTTGAGGTTCTCTTGCTTGCCATATTTCTTGGTCATTACTATGCTTCAAAACAAGAGCACTCAAATTTCATCTCGTGTTCTTCCTTTGTAAGGTTGGAACTCATATCTAAAGCTGGAATACTTCCAGACAATTTGCAACAGCATTATTTGCCTACTCTAGTTTGTCTTCATCTTGTTTTGTCATTCTAGTTGCATTTTCCAAGTCTCCAACATTTAATTTTGAAGCTTAAATGCACTTTTGGGTTAACAAAGTTTTTGACATCTAGGTTGTAATTTTTTAACTTTGCAGGAAGAATTTATTTGGAAAAGTGTGGGGAAACTGAGCTGAACAAAGCTGGGGAATGTTTCTCTCTGGCAGGTAGTTATAAACTTGCAGCTGAAGTGTACGCCCGTGGAAAATATTTTTCAGAGTGCTTGTCTGTTTGCACCAAAGGAAAGTTTTTCGACATGGGTTTACAATACATTCAATGCTGGAAACAAGATGCCCGTAGAGACAATGGTATGATGGTCAAAAGAAATGAAGAAATCAACAAAATTGAACGACAGTTCCTTGAGAGTTGCGCACTTAATTACCATGAACTGAAGGATAATAGATCCATGATGAAATTTGTGAGAGCTTTTCACTCAATGGATTCAGTTCGCAACTTCTTGAAGTCTTTGGATTGCCTCGATGAGCTTTTAGTGATGGAAGAAGAATCGGGAAATTTTTTGGAGGCTGCGGAGGTTGCAGAGCTAAAAGGAGATGTTCTATGCGAGGCTGATCTGATTGGGAAGGCTGGACATTTTAAAGAGGCGTCGAAGCTTATTTTATGGTATGTATTCTCCAATTCTCTGTGGGCATCCGGAAGCAGAGGTTGGCCACTAAAGTGCTTTTCACAAAAGGAGGAGATTTTAGCTAAAGCCAAGTCGTTTGCAAAGAAAGATTCAGACATCTTCTATGAGTTTGTTTGCACTGAGGCTAACATTTTGTCAACTGAACAATCTAACTTGTTCCAGTTGAGCCAGTATTTGAATGCTTCCCGTGGTAATAAAAGCCTCAGAGGTGAAATCTTATCCATAAGAAAAATTCTGGATATTCATCTGCAGCCAAGTACCTCGAAGTATGATTGGGAATATGAATTAGTAGTGGATTTGATGAAGCATTCACAAGAAAGCATTTCACATAACCAGGTGTCTGTTGTAACGCTGATTTGCTTTTGGAATCTTTGGAAAGAGAAGATTGAGTTTATCTTCAACTACCTAGCTTGTCTTGAAACTCATGATGTTGATGAATATTATAGCTATGGAGACTTCTGTTTGAATTACTTTGGTGTGCGGAAGAGACAGTTGAATAATGTTAATACCAGTTTCCTTTTTCTGAATGCTGATGCTGATTGGGTGAGAGAAATTGATGACAGATTTCTTCGGAGAAATGGAAAGTTGGTTTCTGCTGATGTACGCCATTTTGTTTCAGCCGCTCAGACTCATTGGCACTCAGAATTTCTTTCTGTTGGTATGAAGGTGTTGGAAACTCTCAAGGCACTTCATAAGTTTGCAATTTCAAATTCAATGTCTGTTTTTTGCCGAAGCATGCCTCTTGTTTATATCTTTGAGTTAACAAACTCTTTTTTGGGGTCCAAGTATGTTTCATACCGTGAAACTCAAACTTTGCAAAGTTTTCTCAACCTATCTACTGCATACTTAGAGAATGTGTTTCCTTTAGATTGGCGGGAATCATTAACAGAGAGTATGATTTCTCTAAGAGGGAGTGAGCTTTCCCGGAACGTTCTTGAGGAGGTTATTCTTGTAAACATCAACATCAAGGGTGACCTAACCTATGGCCAAATTGGGAGGATTTTAATGATATGGCTTGGTTCAGGAAAGCCAACTGATGAACTATACAACAAGATTGCAAAAAGGTTTGATGAGAATTCACCTTGGGCAGGATTCATTAAGGAGCTAAGTGGAAACATAAAATCAGAAATTGCGCAGGAATCTACATCGGGCAATTCCTGTGAGGCTCCAAGAGCGGTGTCTTTTGTAGACAAGTTCTACGAAGCTTTGGTAGATACTTATAATGCCAACTGGAGACAAGCTGACTATATATCGCCTAGTTGTTTCCTGTATCTTATAGAGCGACTTTTGATAGTTGCATCTGGCTTTCGGGGATTCCTTTTCACCACCAAGTCTTCATTTGTTGAATGGTTTATTTGTGAGCAATCAAATGCCGTCAGAACTGCTAATTTAGTAACTGACAGTCGACTTTCTGTGAGCCGCATTTTTGATTTTGTGGCTTCCATAATCAAGGATTTCTTGTACAACAGTCAAGTTACAGCAGAATGGATTAAAAAATCTCATATCAATTACAATCGGTACTATCCGCTGCTGTTGTTGAAACTGATGGTTACATTGTGCTTGCTTTGTGTGAACTTTGGAACTGGAAAGTATCTTGATCTACTTTTTAATTTGACGGGGAGGAGTGATATTACTAAGCGTCTACCACCAGAATTCTATGATGTTCTTAGGAGGATGAGGAGACATAATCATGTAAAAATAGATGTAAATGTACTTGCAGAAGCGTGCAAGAAGATTGGGAATCCTCTTGTTATAGTGTGCTTGGGAGAAAATTGTTTGAAATTTTCATGTCCTGATGCCATTTTTGTTGACATGAGAGTTTCCCCGAGAAGAGAGGACATCATGAGATTGTTGTTTCCTATTAACAACAAAGCTCCTCGAGGTCCAACTGTAGTGGTTAAAGTGGATAGAGCTAATCACAATCAAGGGAAGACTTCTAAGGCTCCACCTTCAAACTTAGCTGCCATGGCAGATCAGAAGACGAACAGTCAGAATATAAATGAAGGCGACATGCAAATGAATTGTGATCTCTTTGTGCAAATATCTGATGCTTTAATGTCAGTGGAGAACGTAGGAGATGGAAGTGTTACAAAATTTGTGTCTTATGCCTCGAAGTTAAAGGTAAATGCCAAATTGATTGACATTATTGAATGTTAAAAGGATTAGGATCTAAATTTGAATTCTTTTTTTTCCCTTGTATATCTATTTTAGGTCAAGGTAGAGAATGGTATAAGCTTTGTATCTGCTGCTAAGAAGACTTGGGATGATGAAGATGGAAACCTTCTTGTTGAAGCAAACTGCATGCTTGATGAATTGAAGCAGCTATCTTCTGCACTGGATATGAGGTAGGTTTAAATGTAACTTTTCATTTTTCAAAGCCCTCCTAGATTTATTTCTATTCATAAATATTTATCAATTTATTTGTTTGGTATTTATGGATAAATATTTGCATGTGGTTTGTTTATAATTTCATTTGAAATGGGCATAATTTGCTTCACTCTAATGTGAATTATGCCATTCATTTCCCCATTGTTTTGGATTTTAGTGGGACACGATCATTCTATTAATTCTTGATTGATTTTAACACTGAAACTCTGCATCGTATGATAAAATTTTGTTTTGTAATATTGTCCTCTTTCAGTGACTTGTTGAAGTTACTGGAATAAAATTTAAATTTTACTGCATCATGCTTTACATAGGCTTTTCTAATCATATCGTGTCCTATATTTTTTTAAAATCGATCATGCCATCTGATCATGCTTGTGTTACATAGATTGTAACCATTTTCATGTTATGGTATGCACAATTATTGGATTTTTTTATTATTAATCTTCCAGCGAAAGGGAACTAGAGGAAAACATTTCAACAATTGCGCAACTTTTGAGAAGGCTGCATTTGAGAAGGCCGAGGCTGGAAACATTCTTGAACCAGCTGTTTGTTCTTAACAATACAAATGCTGATGAAAAGGAAGCCGATCATAGCAAGGTGGAGGAAATTAGCGACAACGTCAAGGAGGCTAGCAACAATGCTGAGGGAGAAGCTGGCAATTCTGATAAAGGGAAAGCGTTGCAGGTTACTGATGATGCTTCAGGAACTAAAAACAATGGCACCAGTGGCGATAGTGAAAGCAACAAGGGGAAGGGAAATGGCAAGTCGAAGAAGGGAAAAAAAGGAAATAACAAGTCAAAGAAGGGTAAAAAGGGGAAATAGCAGCTCTGAATTTCCAATGGCTTGTCCTTTTTTTTCGTTTTTTATTGTGTAAATTGCTTTGCTTTTGTAATCTTCTTGTCTCTTATTTTCACTGCCCAAATCAACTGAGAATTTTGTTCAATCAGGGGCTCTTAACATCAGTGTCTATAAATCAGAATTCTACATAGAATTTTGATGGTGGTGACATTTTCTCAATTGGCCAAATCATTTGGTAACAAATATTTGATGCCAAATCATGCGCTTCATTCATTTGATAAATTTTTTCATAGCTACTAAAGTATAAGAAGAGATTGCTACATTTGTGTAGTTACATTTTTTTCTTTTTTAATTTTGTACAATGCATGATGTGAGCGATGAACAAGCTTGAACATTTAACGGTGAAGATGGAGGGTGATACTCATACAAACAAACCATCAATGGTGCTACTCATACAAACAAACCATCAATGGTGCTATGAACACATAAGATTTTTTACAGAATAAGGCTCTTATCCTTTCTCATATCTATATTCTATTCTGTAAAAATACCTATGCATTACTCGTAGAAAGAATTCAATGCAAATTTAAGTAAAATATTGCAGATTGTTTAACAATTTATGGCTTTCATGAACCTAAAGCTACTGATTAGGTATGCAACAAAAAGAACAGACAAACTTGAATGAATTCATTTGCAAGAGAACAGAAGAAGATTATTTTGTCTATATTCCAGAAGAAATGTAAATGATCAAGAAAACCAGACCTCAATGTCTATTTAAAAAAGAAAAAAGCTCGGAGTTGAAGGAAGCCAAACCAGTGTTATATTTGCAAACAAAAGGGTCATCGTGCAAAGCAATTTCCTCATAAGAAAAAGAGGGTCAAACTAGTCAGCCAATTGCCTCAATTTGACAACCCTAGAAATCGGATTGACTTTAACCATTTCTTGTGTTCTAGTGTTCAAACCATCATAACCAGCATTTGGTCAAAACAGTAAAGAGTCCTAAATAATCATATCTCTGATCTGAGCAACGAATAAAATGTCTTTAACATTTAGATTGATTGAGTACATGATCTGCCATGTTATAAGCCGGCACCTTGTGCATATAGTACGATCTTCTAATCTGTACTAAAGCCACTACTGGACCATCGCATAAGCATAAAATGTGTTCATTAACCTTTGTACAGGGAAAAACCACAAGTGAGAGCACAATAACTATTACACCTAATGTCCATCATTGTCCAAACATTAACATGAATTCCAATTACTCTTGTAATCATATAAATAAAATATGACATACATGTATACGTATTTCAGGGGCATGAACAAAATATGACATACATGTATACGTATTTCAGGGGCATGAAGAACAAAACAATGCAGGTAGGAATCCAACCATAGTACAGTCAGTGATGATGAATAATTAGGCAGAACCATGGGATTGAAACAATGGCTCCAAAATATAGTGAAATATAAAAGCAAGCAAAACATAAAATGGAGTTCTTCCTTCTGCATTCGTGATGTTTCTGTGTAGAAATTAAATGAGTTTCAATTATCTAAATGGTTGTTGTAAGACCATCTTTCCAACAAAAACAAAGTTTGAAAAAGCTTTGGAAGAAGCATCTGCTGAACAAGGTGAAGGACAGTCCAATCATTTGATTAGTTAGAACTACTTGAACCATGCATTTGGGCATATGAAATTCAATAAGGCCTCTCACCAAGTATATCCAAATGAAACTACACATTAATCAGATATACACTCCAAACAAAAGATAATTAAGAATATAAAGCATTGAACAAAGAACGAAAATGCAGCAGAAACAAAGATAAACTAGCATAAATACTATCTGCATAGAGCAAATATTACTAATTTGGTATAATTTCAAGCAGCAATCAGCATAACACAACAATTTATATCTTTAAATCCACTAGAAATAAGACTTATATTCATTACTCAAGTAGAAAGAAAAATTACAAAGTCACAATTACCAAAACTCAACAGAGGTGAATGCCTTGCCTGAAAATAATCCATATTTATCTTCTTCTTTCAAGAGAGAAACCATATTTATCTTCTTCTTTCAAGAGAGAAAATGCTCGTCTCTTGAATCATTATTTCTCATAACTTGTGCAGCCAACCAACCCTAAACCCTAAATTCACTAGAAATGGTAGCATAAACAAAGATAACTAGCAAAATATAATCTGCATTGAGCAAATTTTCTAATTGGACACATGATCAAGCAGCAATTGGCATATAAGCAACACAATATACCTTTAAATTCACTAGAAGTAAGGTAGTATTTGGTTAACTGGAATGAGATGGAATGAAATGGAATGATCATTCATTAAGCTCTCATATGGAATGATGATTCCCTTGAAATAGGGAATGATTGTTCCATTTGTAATGTATTTTGTCACTATTTCCTTACCCAAAAAGCAAATATTCTAATTTGACATAAGATCAAGCATCAATTGGCATAAAGCAAGGCAACATATCTTCAAATTCACTAGAAATAAGAGTCATATTCATTATTCAAATATCCTCTTTGATGATTAAACATCACTTCTCTTGATAGAAAAACAAAAATTACAAAGCCACAACTACCAAAACTCAACAGAGGTGTGTGTATTGGCCTTACTGAAAATGGTCCTCTACCCATTCATCTTCTTCTTGCAAGAGCAAATACCCGTCTCTTGAATCATTATTTCTCATAGATTCAACTCAAAACCCAATTCAATTCTCCTCATTGGTACCAAATAGCTTCATCCTCGACAATGGCATCCGCAAGTACCCCTCAACTTCAAATTTCTTGGGCGAAAGCTCCCGGTACTTAGCAAACTCCTCCCTTGCTTCCTTGTTCCTATCAAGCAAGCTATAAATCATTCCTTTACAGAAATAAGGCCTAAAATCACTTGGGTCCTCTCTTTCTAGTTCCTCATAGCTCCTCAATGCCTCATCCACATTCTTCTGCAAGAACTGTATTTGTGCCATTATCAACCTCACGTCTCGCGCTTCCTTCGTTTTTTCTTCGTTCTCCGCAATCTTGAGAGCCTCTTCCAACCTCGTGATCACTGCAATTCCCTCTCCACAACGGTCCATTAACAAGGCGTTTTCAAACAGAGCTTCGAAGGAGAGTGGATTGAGCTTCAAAATCTCTTCGAAAACTTCTCGGGCTTCTTGGGCACAACCCATTTCGTTCAAAACCCTAGCCAGCAAGAATTTCCACTCGGTCTGTTCCGGTTGAGCCGAAACAAGCTTTTTCAATACCTTCAAAGCTTCTTCGTCCTCCCCTGCCTCGAGCTTTTGCTGCAAAAGCGATTTCAATGCCTCTATTGCCTCCGAATTCGAATCGATAAATTGCAACAAGGGTGTAGAAGAATCTGAAGACTGATCTTGAAATTCTTCTTCTTCTTCTTGCTGCTGCTGATCTTGGACTTGCTCTTCCTTTATCACAGTTGTTGGGGTCTCGGCTCTTGCCGGCAAGGGGTGGAATTTTCCGGCCATGGAGGCGGCGGCGGCGGCGAGGACAAGGCTGGCGGCGGTGGTTTTGAGCTTGTGGAAGATGGGGTTTTGGGAGGAAACACCATTTCCAGGGGTGGAATTAGAGGAAGCTCTGAGTCTAAATTGGGGATTGGAAGAGGGGTTTCTTGGGAAATGGAGGTAGGGAGGGACAAAGAGTGGTGGTGGTGATTTTAGGTGGGGTTTAGAAGTGGTGGTGTTGAGGTGGAAGATGGATGATCTTAACCCTATGGTCAGAGTTGAGTCCATTTGGTTGGTAAGAAAAATTTGTTTTCTTTTTCTTTCCTTGTGGGTTAGGGGGGAGAATTTGAGGAGGGTAGAAGGGTTTTCAGAGTTTTTTTTGGGGTATGGGGGTGGTTGGGTGCAATGGTTTTTATTAGGGTTTTGGGGGCTGGTTGAGAGGAGGATGAAGGGGAAGTGAAGGGAAGGGACCACAGGTGGTTGTGTTTCCTTGTACACATCACCTAAAAGTCATATGTAGTTTTTTTTGAATTAACTACACAAATATGGGAATTTTTTCCAAACTAAGCCTCTTTTGTCTCCTATTTTTTAAACTAGGCTTAGTTTTGACGGAATTTCCAAACTAAGCTAAAGCGCTATTACAAATCGCGCTTTAACTGTTTGGAGGCCAAAATTTGATGAATAGTTAAGGTGCTATTGTGAATCGCGATTTTAATTAATAAAACGCTGTTCGGAATAGCGGTTTTAAATTATTAAACGCTATTTCTAATAGTGCTTCATTCTTGAGAAAACGCTATTCAGAATAGCGACTTCACTGTGCATCACCTTTGTGAATAAAACACTATTTCTAATGGCGACTTCACTGTAACTAAATGAAAACGCTAATTGAAAAACCGTTTTTCACACTGCTATAAAAGACGAACCCCGTCATTTGCATTCATGTTTTTCACACTTACATTTTTCGTCTCTGCTCGATCTACAGACTCTCCATCTCTCACTCTTCATCTCTCACTCTCCATCTCCCTCTGCTCTCAGACTCACTTGATCTCGCTCTGCTTCGGCTCACTATCGCTCTCCCTCTGCTCTTTGCTCTCTGCTCTCTACTCTCACCCTGATCTCTGCTCTCTGCTCTCTCTCTCTCTCTCTCTCTCTCCGTGGTATGACAGTTAACCCTAATTTTATGTATTTATTTTTTGTGTTTGTGAAAATGTGAATGTGTTTTAATTTGCTGTGAATGTTAGGGTTTTATATGTGAATTATTAAATGTGTTAGGGTTTTATCAGTGTGGTTATGAAATTAGGGTTTGGAATTTTTTGAAATCAGAAATCAGGATTTGGAAATCCGAAATCAGAAATGTGAATGCTTTTGAATTTGTGGAATTTTTTATGCTTTTGAATTTTTGGATGTTGCTTGTGAATTGAATATTTGGGTTTGGATTTTTTACGCTTTATCAGTGTGGTTATGAAATTAGGGTTTGGAATTTTTTGAAATCAGAAATCAGGATTTGGAAATCCGAAATCAGAAATGTGAATGCTTTTGAATTTGTGGAATTTTTTATGCTTTTGAATTTTTGGATGTTGCTTGTGAATTGAATATTTGGGTTTGGATTTTTAGTGATAATGTTTGAGGTAATGAAAACACAATAACAAAATTACATATAAATGACAACCGATAAACCGATCAATTACTATTCGAATATTGACTAAATTGATATTAATGATTAGGCTTTTACTAATTCATTGGGAACTATGAATAAGTTGGGAATTAATTGGTTTAGTATGACTTATGAAAACTAATTGATTATTGAATCAATTAGGTTTATTATATCAAGGATCCCTACAATCAATTGTCAGATTTGAATCTCCCTTATATTCTAATGGATTGTACAATCAATTGTGAAAGTTCAAAACTCTGGCCACTAATCGATTGTATAATCAATTGTGGTCTTTCAATCCAATCGATTTCGCAATCAATTATGATTTTCCATTCACTCCAATATGCTATACCAATTGATTACACAATCAATTGTGTTTGAAATTCTAAAAGTTACGATGTTTTGTTAACGTTGTTATGATTTTCGGGACAAAATTACAATCAACATGCTATGTTATGATTCATTGATAAAAGTTATGATAGTTTGTTAATGTCGTTATGATTATGGGAAAAAATGTTATACTCAATATGTTATGGTTATGATTCATCACTAAAAGTTATGATTTGTACCGCCAAAAGTTATGATTTGCCATGGTGAATCATAATAAAAAATGTTACGATTCAAATGTTATGATAATTAATTACAAATAACTATATTTGTTATGAGTTGTTATCATATTGTTATGATTTATAGTGTCTTTGTTATGACACTTAGGTCAATATTATGACATTGTTATGATTCATTACAATATTGTTATGATATTACAATGAATGTTATGATTCTTTCTGTAACCTGTTACATGACCAGTTTAGCAGGTCACTTTTTATGATGTGGCACAATATGGACCACACAATAAGTGTATATTATATGCTTTTTTATAAGGTGCACATTGTAGACTTTTCCATATAATGCTATGTATCATAAACAAGTTATGACATTTGCATGATTGATTATCACAAATGCCATAACTGAACCCTTTTAAGTCTTTTTCCTTTTTTTTTTTTTTTTTTTGAAACAGCGAAAAAACTTTATTGATGATCATCAAGCAACACAATTACAAGAGATATATTTTAATTAATAGTCCATAGCAATTTCGTAGGTAAGAAGGAAAAAAAAAATGACACTTTGATGGGTAAGCCTGTGTTTCGTAATACCAAATAATTGGTACGGATGGCCCGATAGATTCACATGGTTAACTATCCAAAATTTAGTCCATACATTTAATCACCAACTTCAATTTAATTCTCTCTAATTTTTGGCCATTATAAATTATCTCTCTAATTATTTTTTTGTTTTTGTATGTTTAAGAAAAAAAGGAGTAAATAAATGAAATTTTTTTTCTTATTTTTCAGAACGATCCAAAATGAGCTTTTTGTTTTAATTTTATAAGAAAGCCTCTATGACCTCTACAAAGAGGACGAGGGTTACTAGTTCACATAGGAAATAACTTTGTCATTAAGGTCCCTAGGCACAAGTTTGAGCAAATCAAATTAACTTATATTGTCCATGAATCTGAAGAATTGGATCACCAGTTTTAAAAAATTAATAACAATGTTTGCAACTTCTATTTTATATTGTCCAAATCAATCGCGTTCTTTCAACTCAACGGAAGAAATATTTAATTATCTACAAAACTTATATTATGATTTAAGATGTTTGTATGATTTGTCCAATTTTGTCCAGTCTCACTGCATAACAAAAATTCTTCATACAATGAAGTGTTTTTTAAATGTGTGATATATCTGTCTACCTTATGAAAATACTAAAAAATAGATCAAGATTTATGAAAAGAAAACAAAATACGTGTTTTTAAAATTGATCCCGCTTACATGCGTACGATTAAATCATTGCCTAAATTAACGGTTGTGTAGAGTCGTTATTATTATTTATTTATTTATTTATTTTCAGTGAATGCCTTTTACAAATTGATCATATTAAGGGAAGGATCATATGAAGTTATTGCTGCAATGTGATTCAAAATTTATTTTTCGCCACTAATTCAAAAGAATTAACACAAGAAGTACACTTGTTGTGATGTTTTTTTTAAATTAAGACAAGAGAGCAATGACAACAAAGAACATTCACGTAGAGAAGATAGGAGTCTTCACATAGGAAGTAAATGAAAACTCCACGTAGAGATGAAATCTCAGCTGTTGTCTTATACGAATAAAAATAAGTGAGAAAAATGAGAAAATAAACAGTAATAATCAAATTGAGACACAAATATACAGTTGACAAAATATAAATTGAATTAATGTTTCACCTCTACAGTTCCTTCAACACTGGAAAATATAAATTGACAAAAAATGAGAGGGTTGATTTTGATAGGAAAATGTCACTTATGATATAAATGTGACTTCTTGAAAATTTATTGTTCTTCTTTTAATGTTTGTTTTAGAAGTAGAATTCGATATATGTATATTGTTGATATTTTAATGTTTATTGTTTCATTGAAGCAAGTATATGGCAACTGTTCCAATTATCTTCTACTGGGGGGGGAAACATAATTCGGGATCCCGATGAAGGTGTGTCATATGATGCTGAGCCGAAAGGGATATATGGGGTGCAACTTGGCACCACACTTGGCAATTTGGAGGAGATGTTTATGCCCAAGGTGGCAAGTTACGGGGAAACAGTCCGATTGGTCTTCAAATGTAGATATCCTTATCGCCAGTGGCAAGCAACCAGCAAATACAAAATATTACCGATAAATGACGATGAGGCGTTGAACACCATAATAAGTATCGGTGGAAGTTTCCAACCACCTAATTGTTTGGAAGTGTACATTGAGGAAGAGATTGTACACAATCTTCCGAATATAACACAGATGGATCCTCATCCGTTCACTACATTGCTGACACATGGGATTGACACGACAGCGTTTCAGTCTCCTATGTATGAATCAAGTGAATGTTATGCAGCTGGCTACACACAACAGACATTTCATGGCTATGGTGGGGAATCAAGTTCACGGGGTGGATACGAGACTGAATTTCACAATAACACTGAAGATGTGCCCACCTACAGCCATCATACCACTCCAGTTGAAGTTGCTGGTAATATGGCTGAAACGGTTAATTCTATGCAGTTTGCTGACAGTGACATGTACGGTCCTGATGTCGCCCTAGACAATGATGAGAATGAAATGTGTGATGAAGAAAATGTATTAGGCGGATCAGATGATGATGATGATGAAGATGATGCCGACGCTCCCGTTGATATTCAGAATGCCCCCATTCCACCTAGACCTGAAATCCCTTTCTATGACAACATTCACATGGGTGGTGATTTTGACATTAGTAACCGCGATGCCGTTTCCCGTAACCGAATCTGGAATGCTGAAAATCCAGAGTTGGACAAAGGGATAGTTTTCGTTGATAAGAAGCAACTCGTACATGCTGTGAAATTGTACCATGCAACAAATAATCGAGAGTATAAAGTCGTAACCTCCAAGCGAGACGTTTGGGTGTGTGCTTGCAAGCACGATTGTAGATGGTGGTTGCGTGCATCTCTTAGTAGGATACATAGTCTTTTTGAAATAATGCAGTACAGGGGTCCTCACCATTGTTTATACCCACGAATGAATAGAGACCACACAAATATTAGTTCCAGTTACATTGCTTCTCATCTTTTGGGACAAGTTGCGGTGAGTATACAAAATAAATGTTTACATTTATATACATATTTGTTTGTTTAAAGTGTTCACACAAAAATAATCTAACTCATAGGTATTGTCGTATGCAGAATGAACCTGATATGCCCATTAAGAATGTCATCGAAGATATAAAAAA